GACAGCACGGGGTTAGATACAGAGTAAAGCTCCCTCTACACTGTACCCCATCAAACACTCCCAGGACAGGGACAGCACGGGGTTAGATACGGAGTAACATGCCATTTCCAGGCATTCTGCCACAAAAAGACAGCCGAAACTTTGGGATCTGAATTGATGGGTTTATAACTACAACAACATTAACCTCCCTTTGAACGCCACCTTCAACATAATAAAATATAATTAAATGGAAATTGACACTGACCAAATTGGGAGATTTTAAGGATAAGGATATTTAATCAGTTGACAAAATATCTCTTTGCAGGGCTTTATGTCATTTTTGGTTTGATAATGTTGCTCTGAGACAGAGAATAACTTCTTGTTGTCAGTGTTTTACAGGAATATGATCAAACTAAATTTGACATTGTATCATATGAAGAGAATGGGGTTTAGATGTTTGACAGTTTGTTAAAGAGGTTGTCATTTAACTGATGAAAGAGAGGCAGAGTGATAGAACAATATCGAGTAGGAATTCCAGGGCTTCAGTCCTGGAAGCGGTGGAGCGATTAAAATCAGGGCGGGTGAAGAGGCTGGAGGTGGAGGAGTGCAGAGATCAGGGAGGGCAGTGGGGCTGGGAAGGGGATTCCATAGATGGGGAGGGAGATGAAAACAAGGATTAGAATTTTATTTTTGAGCTGTACTTGTCCAGGAACCAGGGCAAAGGATAGGGGAGGCGTCCATGGGACCCCAATAGTCAGGTACTTGTGGGGCTGCTGTGCCTGGGTCAGGTTTGGCCCGTGATTTCTATCCTTGACCCTGCGAGGAGCTTGTGTAAATCACTGAACACAGGACTGATAGATGAATGGGACATGGTGCAAGTTAGGACAGGAACTGCAGAGTTTTATATGATTGTGTAGGAATGTGTAGGAAACTGCCAGGAGAATATTGAAACATTGCACTTACCCCTGGCATGAAGGAGTGTTCCTGCAGCAGAAGGACATGGGCAGGCAGGAGGCAGGCAGAGTTACAGAGATGGGAATAGGACGTGTTGGTGACAGCAAGGCTGTGTTCAGAGGTGTGAGTCGATTAGGCATAGGTAGTAAACATACCTTATGTATTCAAAATATTCCTCGTGCTGGTTCCGATAGAAGACAGAGAATCTCAGCATCCGTCCTGCAATTGCTTCTGCCTTCTCCAGCAATTGTTTCAAATGGGCAGTGGAATAATCTAGGAAATACATTCACAGGGCATGAGTTGGATCATGCAGTGCCATTTACAAGTTAAGTGTATCAATACTTTATTTTCAGGATTTCTGCAAAGTTATCCGCAGAATATATTCCAGAGTGTTCACATTCACACAATGTTTCTTTGAGACAGTTGATGTTCAGAGAATGTCTTTCGCAGAAGTTTAATATTCACAGTACGTCTCTGGGACTGTGTAATATTTACAGATGACCATTGTTAATATTCATGGTAATATTTACAGATTATCACGTTATTGTCCACAGATATTTCAGGGGAAGTCAATATTTAAAGGATATAATTCAGTATTAATACTCACAGGGTATTTCAGGAGATGTGTTAATATTTACAGAATAGAACTCAGTCTTAACAGTATTACAGTAATACAGCATCGAAACAGGTCCTTCGGCCCACCATGTCTATGCTGACCAACCAATATCAAATTATGCTAATCCCATTTACCTGCATTGTCCATAGCCTACCACGCGTTAGCATTTAAATGCTCATTCTTAAATTTTGCGCGAGTACTTGCCTCCTACAGCCTCTCAGGTCGTGCATTTCATATTTCTACCCCCCTCTGGGTGAAAAGCATTTTCCTCAGATCCCCTCTAAACCACTTATTCCTGACCTTAAACTTATGCTGTCTGGTCTTAGACATGTCTGACATGGTGCATGTACTTTAGCTATGCCTCTCATAATTTTGTGTACCTCAATCAGATCTCCCCTTAGCCTTTTCTGCTCCCTGGAAAACAAAACCAGTCTATCTGAGATCTTAACCATGTTTAGTCTCTGTACCATTCTAACTGAGACTTTCCATCTCAGGCAACATTGTGATGAATCTCCTCTGCACCCTGCCCAGTGCAATCACGGCTTTCCAATAGCGTGGCAACCAGAACTGCACACAGTATTCCATCTGTGGCCTAACCAATGTTTTTTTTTGGTTGTGACAAGAGTACTTTGCTCCGCTATTCTACACCCTGGCTAATTAGGGCAACATCCCATATGCCTTCCTCACCAGTCTATCTACCTGTGCTGGCCCCTTCAGGGATCCGTGGACTTGTTCATCAAGGTATCTTTGCTCCTCAGTACTCCCTAAGGACCTACTATTCAGTGTACGTATATCCTATTATTAGATCTCCCAAAATGCATCACCTCACGCTTACCAGGATTAAATTCCATCTGCCATTGCTCTGCCTAATTTACCAGCTGATCAATATCAGACTGTAGCCTGAGATCATCCTCACTATCAAAAACACCACAAATTTTTTGTGTCATCTGCAAACTTACTACATTCAGATCCCACTTGTTATTGTACATAACAAACAGCATGGGTCCCAGCACTGATCCCTGTGATACACTGCTAATCACAGGCTTCTCGTCACAAAAAACAACCCTCCACTATCATACTTTGCCTTTTATTTGCAAGCCAACTTTGGACTCCATTTGCCAACTTGCCTTGGACCCCACGGGCTCTTACCTTTGGGACCAGCTTCCATGTGGGACCTTGTCAACGGCCTTACTGAACCCCATGTAAACAACTACACTACCCTCATCAATATATGTAGTCGCCTTTTCAAAAAAACCTCAGATTAGTCGGACAGGATCTCCCGCCAACAAATCTGTGCTGACCATCCCTGATAAGTCCCTGCCTTTCCATTGATTAATCTTTTCCCCTCAGAATTTTTTCAAATAATTTTCTTGCCACTGACAACACTAATTGTACTGTCCCAGCTGCCCTTTTTGAACAAAGGAATCACATTAGCTATCCTCCAATGATTTGGCTCTTCACCTGTGGCCAGCAAAGTATTAAATATCTCAGCCATGATCCCAGCAATCTCCTCCCTTGCCTCCCATTGTAACCTGGAATACATCTCATCAGGCCATAGGGATTTTTGCACCCTTATGCCTGCTAACACATCTAATATCTCCTCCTTAATAATCTTAACATACTCTAGAACTTCACTATCCCAACTGAAATCCCCAGCTGCAATGTCTTTCTCCTTTGTGAATATGGATGTAAAATATTCATATGAGAACTTACCCGTGGTTCTATGCACAGATTGTCCCTTTGGTCTCTCATAGACCCCACTTTGTCCCTGGTAATTCTCTTGTTCTTAATATACTTACAAAATACATTGGGATATTCTTTAATTCTATCTGCGACAGATATTTTGTGGCCCCTCTTTGTCGTCCTAATTTCTTGTTTAAGCAATTTCTTTCACATTCTATACTCCTGAAGGGCCTCCCCTGTTTTTAATGCTCTGAACCTGACATATGCTTCCTTCTTTTCCGTGTCAAACTGTTGTTATCCCGTGATGTCCAGGGTTTCCTGGACCTGCTGTCCTTGCCCTTCACTCTTAGAGGAACATGCGGGCCCTAGACTCTCAGTATACTACTTTTAAAAGACTCCCACTTTCCAAATGTAATCTTACCTGTAAGTAGCTGCACCCAATCTGTATTTTCAGATCATGTCTCATAGTATTGAAATTGGCCTTCCTCCAGCGTAGACCCTTAACTTCTGCACTATCTTCATTTGAAGAGTTATGGTCACTATCACCAAACTGTTCACCCACTGACACTTCAACCATTTGATTGATTCTTAAGCAATTTCCATCCACCTTACCAGTCAGGCTCCTTGCACGAAAATTGAGACAATTTTAGCTTTCCTGACATCCCATGTGCCTTATCATGCCTGTGTCTCCTCCACCCACCAGACTGTCCTAGCATTCCTTCTATATCTGATATGACCTTGCTCCCGACTTTACATCTGCTCTCTGCTCAAGGACGGGCAACTAAAGCAGCACTTACTGTTGTCGCCCAGATCCCATTAAACAATAAATGATACCCTGTAAGGAAACCGGTTGGTGTCTGATTTCATGTGCTCACCTCCAGTGCAGAATTCCACCACCTCACTCCAGTCAGACACAAGGTATTCTCCATCGCTTTGCTTGATGGCGACCTGGACTGCGACGCTGTATTCTGTGCGGGGGCTCAGGAACCAGTGCCCTCTCACTGTCATCGGTAGTGCCACAGCCTTGGCCACCAGTTTGGTAGGGACATCCTGAATAACCAAGAACATCAGAATGACCTTCACTGATTCAATGCCCCTGCACATTGGAATAAGCCACGTGTACATGCCCAGCACCTAAAAACTGGTGTGAATTTGGCCTGAATGCCAGGCAGCTGGAGTACAAAGGGATGTAAGTCTTGCTTGCCCAGCTTCTTGGCTTGACCCCATGTGGGGTATTGGACACCTCCGTTTTGGAGAACATCTTGTACCTGGAGGAGATGCAGTGTTTGTTAATTATAATGATACCAGGATCTAGAGGGCTAAATGTTACAGACTGTTTGCAGAGAATAGGCTTATGCACTAATGCTTAAGATGATTGAGAGGAAGGTGATCAAAGTGGTAGGCTGGACAGAAGTCTGAGTGACATGATGGATAGCGTCACTGGTTCTTAACAGAAGCTCTGAGTTTGGCTCCCACCCCTGGACTTGAGAACTAAGGATGTTGCATCGATAATGCGGCCAAGTGGGTCGAGGATCAACGTGCATCAGTGACGGGTGAGACAGAGAGATTTCTGATCAGCTGTTTGTAGAAGGCACCAGTAAACCACTGCTGTACCTTGCTGAGCATAAGCGTGGACCAATGTACAGGTCTGTAGTGGCCAGTGTTCTGGCCGGGCATGGTACTTGTACAATGAAAGCAAGAGAGAGGGTTCCAGGGTAGTCTGATCAAGGGGGTTGAAATGGCAACATAGTTTGAGATGCACTATATCGTTTGATGAGGTGAACCTAGAAGAAAGGGGAAAAGAAACTGAAAATTGGAGCTAGGCTTTTCAGGTGGCAGTGTCAAGAAGCACTTCATCACACTGAAGGGTGTTTAAAATCTGGAACAAAAAGAGAAATTGTTGGAGAAACTCATTAGGTCTGGCAGTATCTGTGGAGGGAAAGCAGAAGTAACATTTCGAGTCCAGTGACCCTTCTTCAGAACTATAGTTAGGCAAAGGTGATATACATTCTGAAAGCAGGGCTTGGGGAGAAAGGAATGAGTGAATAGTCCGAGCTACCAGCACTTCTGAAGAAGGGTCACTGGAGTTATAGTCAGAGCTGTACAGCACAGAAACAGACCCTTCGACCCAACTTGACCATGCTGACAGATATCCTAAATTAATCTAGCCCCATTTGCCAGCATTTGCCATATCCCTCTACAGCCTTTCTATTCATGTACCCATCCAGATGTCTTTTAAATGTTGTAATTGTACTGTCTGCACCACCACCTCCGGCAGCTCATTCCACACACCACCCTCTGTGAAAAAAATTGCCACTCCAGGTACCTTTTAAGACTTTCCCCTCTCACCTTAAATCTATGCCATCTAGTTTTGGACTCCCCTACCTGAGAAAAAGCCTTGGCTGCTCACCCTGTCCATGCCACTCATGATTTTATAAACCTCTTTAAATAAGGTCACCCCTCAGTCTTCAACGCTCCAACGGAAAATAGCCCCGGCCTATTCAGTCTCTCCCTATAGCTCAAATCCTCCAGACTTGGCAACACCCTTGTAAATCTTTTCTGAACCCTTTCAAGTTTAACATCATTTTTTCTATAGCAGGGAGACTAGACTCTGCTTGCTCTCCACAGATGCTACCACAGCAGCAATGCCTGTTTTTGTTTCAGATTTCCAGCATTCACAGTTCTTTGTTTTCATTAAAATCTGGGGTGCTTTCCCCCAAAAGCACTTCAGATGCTGAGGTTTGAAAAAAAGAAACTGCCACGAACATTCAAATGGCTTTTCTTGGCTTCATTTTCAATGTGTAAGATCCGGAATCCCATGTCACATTGATACGATCCCAGCTTTCAAGATCAGTCCTGTTCCCTTCGATCATCCTGACGTCCCCGTCCTTCTGGTCAAAGTTCTTCTTCACTTGTGATTTCAGCAAATTATGGAGCCATTTCGCCTTGTTGCAGTGCTTGACACTGCTAGGTGCACCATCCTGATACAGCCTTGTTTAATGAGGTCCAGGCAAAGAAGCAGGGAGCCTGTCACTGACCCGTGAAGGACTGTGTGATCAGTTCTGTGTGTGGAGGTGTCTCAGCCAGGAGACTCTGAATTTCAATTAAACTCAGCAGAGCGTATCTTACATTACAGCCTGAGCTCCGTTTTCTGTCAGATAATGGTTTCTTCATAGCCTTCATTACTGCACTTAAATGAGCACTCATCTGCTTGTGAAGGGAGTGCTGGCCATATCTGAGCCAACAACTTGGTGTCTGTGTAGAGAAACAATGATGGACTCAGGGAACAGTGGCTATAATGCTGTCACCTTTGCAGTTTTCTGGTTAGGTGTAAGCTTTATTCTTTACCTCTGCAGGTCACAACTTCCCATTTGGTTCACTGTAGCCCATCAAAGAAGGAAATTCGCCATCCATACCTGGTCTGACCTACATGTACCTGCAGACCCACTGCAATTCACTGTCCTCCGAAATGACCTAGAAAGACGTTCATCTCAAGGGCATTTAAGTGTAGGAAATGTACATTGGCCTTATCATTGAAGATGACATCCAACTAAAGATTAAAGGGATGAACCAACCTATTACTTATTTCCACTCTCTAGTTCATATTTTTGGCACTTGACCGTTTTGTCTCTTTTTCTCCAGTCACATCCAGTACAAGCCAGGCCCAAGGTCCTATGTAGTGACCAATCGTCACCAAGCCACAATATGCAAAGTCCGATAACAAATACAAGTGAGGTTGTTGACTTGCTCGCCGAGCTGGCTTGTTCTCGTTCAGATGTTTCGTCACCATGCTAGGTGACATCATCAGTGAGGTCTCCGATAAAGCGATGTTGTACTACTCCACTTGGAATTTATACTGTCTGGTCCATTATGGTGAGTAGTGTCATTTCCAGTTTTGATCTGAATGAGTTTGTATATGGGGTCCGATTCTTTGTTTGTTGATTGCATTACGGGTGGAGAACCATGCCTCTAGGAATTCCCGTGTGTGTCTATGTTTGCATGGTATTTTGTATTCTATATTGTACATTCCAGACAAAATCTTCGCTTTAAACGGATATCCCCGCAACTTCATCCGCAGATGCTTACTCAACAGACAGCAACTGGAGGACACAGTATGCCCTAACACACTGGCCAAACTGCCCTACATCAAGAACATATCAGAACTGACAACAAGACTCCTAAGACCACTAGGAATTATGCTGGCCCACAAGCCCACAGCCACTCTATGACAAACACTTACAAAGATTAAAGACCCCATTCCCACAACATGCAGAACCAACGTAGTTTACAAAATACCATGCAACGACTGCCACAAACATTACATCAGACAGACAAGAAGGAAACTAGCCATCAGAACACATGAACATCAACTAGCAGCAAAACGGCACGACGAATTCTCCTTCATATCGGTACACTCAGATAGTGAAGGCCATCAGTTTAACTGGGACAAGATAACCATAGTAGCCCAAGCCAAACATAGACACACACAGGAATTCCTAGAGGCATGGTTCTCCACCCGTAATGCAATCGACAAACATATAGAGTTGGACTCCATATACAAACCCATACAGATCAAAACCGGAAATGACACTACTCACCATAACGGATTAGACAGTATAGATTCCAAGCGGAGTAGAATAACATCGCTTCATCGGAGGCCACACTGATGATGTTGCCTAGCATGGTGACAATATGTCTGAACGAGAACAAGCCAGCTTAGCGAGCAAGTCAACAACCTCACCCATAACCCAAGCTATAGATACTTGCCAAAACTTTAAACAATAAGTATTGAGTGCAATAACAAGTAGAGTAGCTGATTCTTTCCAAACCTCTAGTTAGGCTCCAACTACAGTATTGAGTCCAGTTCAGGGCACCACATTTAAGACGGGATATGAGAATGTGGGGGAAGATTAACCAGAATGGTTCCAGGAATGGGTGATTTCAGCACAAAGTCAGGTTAGAGAAGCTGAGATCCACTCTGGGAGATCCACTCTGGGAAAAGGAGATTGACGGAGCAAGGGGTTTTGATAGGGATGTACAAGATTATGACAGGCTTAGATAAGGTGGACAAAGAAAAGCTGTTCCCACTAGCTGATGGTGCAAGGACTGGGGTGATTGTGGAGAAAGAGAGATTTAAAATATCTGGCAATTGATACTTGGGGAATGGGGGCCAGATTTATTTTAGATACTGGATGGTAATGAACTGGAACTCGCTGCCTACCAGAGTGGTGAAAGCAGAGACGATAAGTCATTTCAAAAGACATTTGGAAAGGTGTTTCAGAGGAGAAAATAACTCTCAGGGCTACAGGGGTAGAATGGGACTGACAGGATTGAAAATTAAAAATCCTTAAATATCGTTGACCATATTGCCCCTCCTTGCAGACGTTGACAGTCCTGCATATTCCAACATTTTCTGCTTTGGCCTTTTCATGAAAATGCAGTGAGGTGTGACGTTGGTCAGTGTATGAGTCCAAGAAATGATCGGACGTATATTTTTAATTTCTTGGCTGTCTCCAATTTCATCCTCATTTAGTTTAGTTGCAAACAGAAATGTTCTCAGTTTATCTCTCTTGTTGCCCTCAGGACAAGTGATCATAAGAAGAACAAGGTAGTTTTCAAGAGGGTACAAAAAGTCTGCAAAAGGATTTAGATTAAGTGAGCAGGCAAAACTTTGGTAGGTAGAATACTGTGTCCAGTTCTGGTCAGCCAGTTATAGGAAGGATATTATTAAGCTGGAGAGGGTTCAGAAGAGATTTAGCAGCATGTTGCTGGGTATGGAAGGTTTGAGTTGTAAAGAAAGGCTGGGATTTTTTCACTGGAGCATGGGAAGTTGAGAGGCAATCTTACAGAGGTTTATAAAATCATGAGGGATGTAGAAAGAGTTAATGGTAGTTGTCTTTTCCCTAGGATGGGGGATTTCAAGACTAAGGGGCACATTTTTAAGGTGAAAGGAGGGAGATTTAAAAAAAAAGATATGAGGGGCAATTTTTTTACACAAAGGGTGGTTCATGTGTGGAATGAACTTCCTGACAAAGTGGTGGATACGGGTA